GTCATCACACCTGAAAACAAATTCGACCCATAGGACATAGAGTCTCTTCCTATCCGGATTTTAGTTCATATGTTGTAGACTGAAAAAAAAAACTCTCAAATTATGTAAATATCCCCATTTCACAGTAAAGACCTTTCGTTTTCTCGTACAACATTCTACGCAAATAAAATTGCCTGAAAGTTAAAATTACTAACTATCATTAGTTAGGAATATATCAACTAATATGCAAGAACATACTTAGTCTAGTAGTAATGTTAGTAAATAAAATTTATATAATATGGACCAAGGAATTGAACCTCGTTGCATGGACAAATGCCAAAGAAGCATATTTAGAAACAGTGAAAGTTACACGAGGAATATTTCAACTTACGCAACAACACACTAGTAGTAATGTTAGTAAGTAAATATAATATGGACCAAGGAATTGGACCTACTTGCATGCACAAATGCCAAAGAAACGTAAATTAGAAACATATTAAGCTTCAGTTCGATTGGCGTCACTAGAACAGACGAGGAACATACCAACTTACGCAAGAACATATAAATACTCTTAGTAATGTTAGTAAAGTAAATATAATATGGACCAAGGAATTGAACTCCTTGCATAGACAAATGCCAAAGAAACATAAATTTAGAAACATACTAAGCTTCAGTTCAATTGGCGTCACTAGAACAGACGAGGAACATACCAACTTACGCAAGAACATACTAGTAGTAATGTTGGTAATAAATATAATATGGACCATTAGGAATTGAACCTCGTTGCATGGACGAATGCCAAAGAAGCATATTTAGAAACTGAGTGAAAGTTACACGAGAAATATATCAACTTACGCAACAACATACTACTAGTAATGTTAGTATGTAAATATAATATGGACCAACATGGACAAATGCCAAAGAAGCATATTTAGAAACGTAAAACTTCAATAATATTGGCGTAGAACAGACAAAAACAGACAACATTCTCCCTAGAAAATCAACTTACGCAAGAACATACAAGTAGTAATGTTAAAATATCAAAATTATATGGACCAAGGAATTGAACTCCTTGCATGGACAAATGCCAAAGAAACATAAATTTAGAAACATTATAAAAGCTTCAGTTCGATTGGCGTCACTAGAACAGACCAAAATAGACAACCTAATCTCCCTAGAAACGTAGTACATGATCATAAAGTCTTAAAGAACAGGGAACTGAACCGGTGAAACCGATGTCGACAACTAGTGTCGATTACGTCAACACCCCCCCCCCTCACTCTTCATTCCAAAACAGGCCCAGAACTTTCTTATACACCCCCTAAACTTCTTAATAAGGTCTTACCTGAATGTCTTGGCTATTCCTTGTCTAGTATAACATCAGAAATGCCCGGAGTTTTTTTACAGACAACTAAACCGGGGCGATGTTAGTGTCTGCCGGGTGTTTCCTGGTGCTGCCTGGTACTGCGTGAGACAGATGAGCGCCCAGGGTAGGGTTTCCATTCAGTGACGTCACGCTCGGTATCTTCCCCCGGGGTTTAAGAGGGACCGTCCATTATGTACAGCTTTAGGGTATAATTGGTGTAAAGTATTTTTGCCAATCATGGTTCATTGACAAGACATATTTTATCACTTACTGGCCTGGCCATGTTGATTTGATTATATGGATGACATCCACACGCGCATTAATTTTCGGCCGTTTCCAAAACAAAAAGTTTTCAACCATACTGTAAACAAGGAGGTTAAAAAGAGATTAACCTCCTTGCTGTAAATCGTACAAAACAGTTACAAAATGAGCAAATATATACCGTAAGTTGGAAAAAACGTTGGAAAATGATACCAATGTCGTAGAATGTCATAAGAATCAAACAAAAAAGACGAAAATGTAAAGAAATGAATTTAGATTATTCGCCATACCAAACTCTGTGTCAACTTTCAATAATGAAAGCAACTTTTTTTTTTGGCCAAACTTTTTTTTATTCGCACGCTCGCATCAGTTTTGGGGTTCCCAGAGGATGTCATCCATATAATCAAATCAACATGGCCTTACTAGTATAAAAAAGATTGAGATTTTTTTTCTTAGTTTGTTGTGGTTGGTCTTGGCGATGTGAACCACCCCCGGCTGTATAGTGGACCGTCCCTCAGGTGTTGCCCTGGCAAGGGTGGTCACGTGACAGTGACGTTGCACAGGTATACCTGAATGACAAAAGACGTGTTTGTATTGTATTTTTAAGGGTGGAACAACATTGTACACGGCTGCGCGTCATGGAAAAATTACTGTGGAACCACAAAAATAGCATCGATCTATCGGTCGAACAAATTATGACGCGTCGACGCTCAATAATTTGGCTTTTAATGGGGTCGTGTGGCGTAGCGGCAGAGTGCTCGACTCGGAACCAAGAGGTCCCGGGTTCGAATCCTGACATGCCACGGCACCAATCTTGTGCCCCTGGGAAAGGCACTTTACACGACTTTCCCCAGCTTAACTCAGGTGGAAATGAGGTTGTATTGTCCCCTGTGTTGGCATGAATATTTAATGTAAGTTGAAAAAACTTGAGTGTGCCGTCACCACGTCTTGTGATTACATGTTGGAATATATAAGAAAAAAATAGGCTTTCGCTTAAGATACCTGAGCAAAAAAAAAAGCTAGATCACTGCATTCTAATAGGAAAGTTGTCAAACCGTGTATATGCATATAGTATTACCAGGGGAATTCCGTTTGCCTTGCGTACTTGAAAATCAAATTGATTGAAAGAGACGCTACGAAGGTCATTTTTGTACCAAACTCATAACTTTGAAGCAAAAAGTTATTGTTATCGCACACTGAATTTGCCCCAGTGTTCATAGATTTTAGATAACAGTATTAAGACTTCACTGGCTTTACAGTTCATTCAGTGATAAGAGTATTAAGACATCACTGTTCACAGATTTTAGATAAGAGTATTACGTCTTCACTGTAGCTTGAGTAGCCTCCACCAGGCTTCGGGAGGCGGCTGGAAAGAGTAGAAATCGGCCACATAGAGAGATAGCATGCCACTGGGAGTTGGTCTGCTTGGGGAGAACAGTTTGCCGCTCCCAAAGCCTGGTAGAGGCTAGCTTGAGTACTAGTACATGTAACGGGCCATCCAAACGACAATTTATATCAACAAATTAAACTACTAGTAGTCACGACTTCTAGTTCTGATATTCAACTTCAAGATTGAGACCAAACGCCGGGCATTGACCTGTCGTTGACACATTGACCGAAAGGATTTTAGCGGAAGTGGAAAGGAGGAAATGCTGGCACGAGAAATTCAGTGACAGAAAAGGAACCGAAAAAATGGGGGTGGCAATAATAAGAGCAGCATTTTGCATGAGAAAAAAAGCCCCAACCTCCCAATAAGACCAAAAGTACATTTTCAATAGGCATTCTTTGCGGAGAGGATGTAGGACTCGGGAGCTGTAATACAGTAGGTCTGGTAACCAGGCTGAATTTTCAAGCAATCCTTCCCACAGTGTACTTTCTGGACAGTCCCTATAAAGTTCGTCAACAGTTCATGATGGTCCCGCGGCAATGTACACATGCGTTTGTCAAAGTCATGAGTTAAATGGCGGAACCTACGCACGGATCAATATAACGCTTTTTTCCTGGAAGAAAAACAATAGTACCGGACGTGTGCAGTTTCCTGTAGGTACAGGTGTAAGGGTTCAAGTGTAGGTGAATGTAGTCTCAACCAGACTAACAACGCAGGTTCAAAAAAGATAGTAAAATTTAGCCAATATAATTTAATAGGGAGAAAAGTGGGAACTTTACTGACACAACAAAAGTACAGCGACTTTCGTAAAGGTCTAAAACTACATGTAGACATACAGGCAAATACATGGGTACAACGAAATTAACCTACGTACAAGACAATATATAGATGAGTCTTATACTACTTGTTCTAAGGTCCATACATTTGATATATTTACCTATTTGTACACGGTAAGGGTTGTTACCTTCTAGGGTGAAATTGAATTTATCTGTAGCATGAAATCGAAGTAATTGACTATAGGGGATCGGAGTTTTCCCAGCGTAGAGTTCATTTGTCTGCACAGAGGGGGGAATTAACCCTCTCGCGGACTGACTCTCCTGGCCAATTGTTTTACCGAATTCTAGGATCCGTACCCCCCTAGGAAGGCCTGGTGGAGGCTAACAAAGCAGATGTAGGGTTTGGATCAGTGTTTTACTCGAATGTTCCTAAGGCTTTTCATTAAACTTTTGCGTTTTTTTCGTCTTCCTCCTAGACCACTGAAAAGCGTATAAAACTTCAAAGACGTTACGAAAACACTGAGCTACGCCCTATATCTGCTTGGAGATTGTATGTGCGCACATATACATGTACGTCACACCTAACAGATGCCCAAACGTCTGGGCGTATCTGATATACACACTTTTAATGATGACACAAAAGACCCGTCCAACAAGTTGATGACGCCGACTGGGGTCAGAGAGAAACTGTCAGATTACTCGGCGCCTACGATTCGGAGTAAGTGGTATACATGGGACGTGATGACATTCAACTGAATTACTGGTATCCTGTTATAATATTTTTAGAGGATTAATTGCAAGGGATATAGTTTATTATTATTTGTAGGCACCGTATACCTCGTATAAATCATTTGTTGAGCAATATCAATTGAGCTTTGATATGGTGGGCTCTACATTAAAATCATGTTGTGTATAGGTCTTCGATTTTATACTATACTACAAATATTTGTAAATATGTTTCTAGTAGCAAGATTTATTTATTTATTCTTTGATTCAGGCCAATGGCCCATATAAAAAGAAAGAAAATATACAAATACACAAATTACATACAATTAGGTTTAAAAAGGTTTAACAAGATTAGAAATGACTGTTTCAGAGCCGCTAGTGTTTATACCTATGATCTTTAGTCTAAGTCTTACACTTCTTGTTGATAACTGACATAACTCTACCTATGGAGTAGTGTACTAGTACATGTATTTCATAAGTTGTATATGCTGCAGTTCCGACACAGGCCGTCATGTGGCGCCGCCGACTATGCACTGTGAGACGCCTTCTTGGGTTACTGCTACTTACCTGCACCATCAACATAACTTGGATCTTCCTCTATCTAAAAGAGACGTGCGTTCATTTACATTATCTTGAAATGTGCAATTGTACTATCTTAAATGCATATAAGATGGATATGGTAGTGCGTAAAAGACAGTTAAAGACCTTTAGAAAGCTTTGCGTGTAGTACATGTAATATGATAATATGTCGGTGAAGGTTAGACATAAGATACGCCAAAAAACAGTTACTCAAGCAACTGGATATGATTTTGGAAACGGTCAGACGTTTCAGGTAGCATCCACTACCTTTCGTCAGTTACACTGGAGTCTTGTCCAGAAAGACAGGTTTATAAGCACGAACTATTGCTTGATAATATGCGTATATGCAAGTAAGTGGGCAGTGTTGAAGAAAGGTAGTGGATGCTACCTGAAACGTCTGACCGTTTCCAAAATCATATCCAGTTGCTTGAGTAAGGCCACAGCACGTAATTTTATGGATGACATCAGCGCGCGCATTAATTTTCGCCTGATTTGGGGGGAAAAACAAAACATTTTGTTGCCTTCTGACAGTGGTCAACATGCCGAAAATGGGCAAAGATGTCTGTTGTCATGCCGGAAGGTGGATGGCAGATAACTATGAAGAGAGGAGACAAGAAAAGGCGCTCTGAATGAGTTAATGTTTTGTTTCTTACTTTGATGCCGTGATATGTGATGCTGGCTGTGTATATGTGATGTTCCTACTGAATCAAAACCATTTGTACAATGATTGAGTCAACATTTGAAAATGTAAGAACCTTGTTTTTTTCGGCCCGCTCGTATTAGATTTGGACTCTGCGGAGGATGTCATCCATAAAATTTACTTGCTGTGGTCTTTTTTTGCGCAATATGATGACATTTCATGGCGACACATTGTTCCTTTTGAAGGGCACCTGTCAGTCGAGATGAAGTGAACATTTCAGGACGTTTGCTTGGCCTGAACAATGTCACCGAGACTACCCGCCCGTCCACTCCCGATGTCCAGTACCTCAACATGCTCAACAGACTGCCGATCGAACCGAGGGGCCTCAGAATAACAGGGGAGAACAATTCCGTTGCAAAAATGATAAGGTTTGTTTGTTTGTTTGTTTGTTTGTTTGTTTGTTTTTTTAACCAGGAAATACATGTCGCCTATTGGCGGTTTTCAAAGATTCCTGGGGGGATAACCCCAACAAAACTACATGACATTATAATTATAACAAAAGATTTAAGATGAACTAACAAAGGTCAACTAAAAATAGATAAACTTATCGTGAACAAGACGAAATCGTAACTAACTCATCAACAATCAAATGAAATAAGGTAACCTAGAAGTATTTATAATCGTTCAGATATCGAATCATAATGATAGATAGTCAAAAGGTATGTCAACTTAAAAGTAAATAACTAAAAGTGCAGTTTGCATATCAATGGAAAGAAATATAAATAATCAAAACAAAGAGGCATGGAAAGTCAAATAATACAGAAGTAACGGAACAAGGTAACTAGAAAGGTAACATTTGCAAAGCAAATGCATAATGTTTACCTTCGCATATGGTCTGCTATGTTAATTCTTACTCAAACACATTCATAGATATGGTCAGACAGGAGTCTAAATCCCTTCTGCTATAAAATTGCAACATGGTGTAACCCAACACTAGTTACCATGGTGACAGACGTCTGGTTCAGGACATTGACCTTATTTGTTTGGAGAAGAAGAGGAAGAAGAAGAAACAGAGCAAAAACAATATGTTTTCCTTCTGCGAAGGTAAACATAATAACCGTTCTTAAGAACAGTATACATTGGCGAGATGTGTTGGTAGCTATAATGACTACACATCCCACAAACCAGTTTTGAATTTAGAATATCATACTTGAAAATAAGTGCTGTAGTTTGCCTGAGTGTGGATGGTGTTCAGCACCAAGGACAGGCATGTTCAACTGTGTGTGGATGGTGTTCAGCACCAAGGACAGGGGTGTTTGCCTGTGTGTGGATAGTGTTCAGCACCAAGGACACGCATGTTAACCTGTGTGTGGATGGTGTTCAGCACCAAAGACAGGCATGTTTACCTGTGTGTGGATGGTGTTCAGCACCAAGGACAGGGGTGTTTGCCTGAGTTATACCGGTAGAGCGCAAGATTTACCTTCAGTCTTCTATACATGGTTAAGTGATAAATTAAGAAAGGAAATAGAAGTAGAAGGAAAATATATTGTCATATCTGTCGTTTTATATCTTCTCAAAGGGACAAGATACGGAACCTGCTGAGTCCACGCCAGAACATGGTTCTTTTCTCCGAATTTGAGGCAAATTTTGAACGCTGCAACCTGTCGCGATTACCCGACAAGCACTGCTTCGGCACAACGCCCGTGAAGCACCACCGCACATGCGCAGTCGTCGGCAGCAGCGGCATCCTTCTGAACAGCTCCTGTGGGAACGAGATCGACTCCCACGACTACGTCATCCGCTTCAATCTCGTTCCCCTCATCAAGCACGCAAGGGATGCCGGGATGAAGTCCAACCTGACCGTTATGAACGTGTATCGTCTGAGGATCATGGTCAAGAGAATGGAGTTGGGAAGCAGAAGAGCCTGGGAACGATTCGAAAGGATCAACAACTCCATGATTATCTATCCGAAAAAGTTGAGTCGAACCGCGTACCAGTACAGGAGGTACTCGGAACTACTGGAGCTTTTTAGGAACAGATCTAGAACTGCCACCAAGAAGAAAAGGAAGGTCTACCTGCCCCTACTGTACTCCATAACAGAAGTCAGGAACATAACTACAGAGTAGGTATTCTATTGATGATTTTCACACTTCCCATAATGCCTAGTGGTGGTCACGGCGCCATGACAGTTCTCAGTGCATCATGGGTAAGTCACTCGTAAGAAAATTCAAACTCTACTACTGGATCAGTTACGGATCC